TTGTTGCACGAACTTGCCAATAAGAAATGATAATGATTTTTAGATCATAATAAGTATAAATTTAAATTTAAATCCAGTGCAAATGCATGCTTAATCTTGAGAGTTAATTCTAAAGTATTGAGTATCTTTTGTGGCAAGTTTACAGGTTAGCTACAATGACTAACCTATTACCGAAAATGTTAGAACACAGAAATAGTACTAATCGCGACATCTATCGTGTTCGTATATTAATACTCATTTAGAATAAAATAGATAATTCAGTAAGACCTAGAGTTTAGAAATATATATTTTTATACTCAAGTAAATATAATAAATAAATAAAGAACAATTAAAACAAGGAAGAAATGTAGTGTATGTATCTACTGGATGGTGGCGCTTCGTACCGAGAATACGTCGCATAGGCGGGGAACGGGAGCAGTCTGGGCCCGACCGAGGACTGAGCAACACGCGATGGCGTATAGATGAGTGAAAAACAACTGTTCCGGAATTAACGGGTCGACAAGACGAGTCAGTGAAGGAAAACAAAGTGCTTGATGTGGTCGATGCTGCGGCTGCAGTAATTGGCTGACAAAGAACATTTACGAGACACGTTTAGGGACGTTTGTTTTCGTTTGCTGACTCGCCTCGCGTCCCGAGTATAAACATCACACTTTTGCTGTAGCTAAAAAACATCGTACGACAGAAAATGTAATCAATCTCGAGAAACATCATTGCACAAGAGTTTAACAAAGGTTAGTTTAATGAGAAATATAGTCAAGTAACGGGCAATCATTCGCAACGAGTATACTTATCCCCTTTATCGCGATTACGTTTCACTGCCCTATTGGATTTGATCGGTATCGCCAAACCCTCTAACCTCGAGACTCGTGCAAATCAGCCACATGTTTAGTTGGTTCAGGAACGTAGCTTTAATACCCAGCACGCGCCCTCATCAAAGCGATCCTTTCAGTATTGATGGTCCATTGAGAGCCACACTTAACCGCTCCATTTTCTTTTGTCCGGAACCTAGTTTGCGGTGACCTGCGACTCGTTACTATTCGTTTACCAATACTTTCTACAAAGACGAGGATAAAGTCAGTTTAACGTTATCGTTTCAAATTGGCCAGAAATGTTTTTTTACAATTCGGTACTTGGAAACGAATGCGAATTGTTGCTGGGGACGATTACAGTTAACATTGTACAGTCTTTAAAAGTGGAAAGAGTACAAAACATTCGATGGCAATTTTTTCAAACAACATCGGCCCCAATGATTAACCTCTTGTCGTGCAATTTGATATTTTATATTATATTTTCACATTAGCGAACTATACGTAAAATAAATTTGTACACGTATGAATATATTTAAAAAAATTAAATAGTATATGATATGGGATATGAGATTGTGTGATAAATACATTTTTTCACATCGCAATATTTTAGATGATCAAAGCTTTTTTTCGATTCGATTCAAACCTAGTTGTTCGTAACAAACAACAGTTCTTACTTGACCTTGTAGACAAAATAAATTTCAGGTTAGGTTTTAGTAACCGTATTTTACATATACTTTGTCTCAAACGCACTTGGACAGATACAAAAATCTTCTTACACCCTATAAAAAGTCAGTCGTTATTAAAAAAGATACTTTAATAAAATAACATATCTATTTATCACTATACGAAATAATACGAGAAAATGTATTATTCGACGGGTGAATGACTGAATGAATATGTTATGTTAATTAAACTTTTCGGTGTTTTTGTTTATTTTTGATAGAATTTTATTTCATTTTTCTTTTAAAATTTTTTTTTTTAGATTTCTCTTATTTCTTGTAGTATGTTTTACTTTTTAATGTTTTCGCTTTGTAGTCATCTTCGTTGTAAAATAAGCGGTAAATTTATAAACACTTGACATCAAAATAGATATTCCTTTTGTCATAATCCTAAAAATATTAATGAAAGTGGTATCCTACGTATGACCTGGCAATTACTAATAAATTCCAGGAACATTTTTCTTCAATGAAAGGACAATACGATTTCGAAAAGCTTAAACATTGTTAATGCGGGTGACGTAGAAGAGAAATTCAGAGTGTCCCCCGTAAGTATTATAGAAGCCAAGAGGATTTAAAATGAGGAAAATGCGTAGAACATATAATCTATCTTTTTCTGCTAATCCATCAATCAGTGTAATTATTTTAGCCATAAATTTTACTATTACTGTGAATCTTTTAAATAGTTGAATACTAATTGATAATTCATTGTTACTTTTATGCGTGTTTATTGTTGCACTTTATTAATAACTATTAATATGTCTAATATCCCTATAATAAAAGTAAAACCTTACTACAACCAATCAGAGGTACTTGTAAAAAGTCACAAACAAAACTAATTATTTCTTTTTCTTTTTAATTTTCTACCAATTATTTAATATAATCAGAATTTTTGTTTTTGCTGTTTTATATTTCTATAATTTGTATAGACTGTGTGGTTTATGTTTAATAAATTGTGAAATTTTCAAAAACTAGAATTTACATACAATATCGCACATCATTGGATTGAACTTTTTTTTCTTTGTAAGGATATGAAAAAAATGTATGGTTCCATTTGAAAAATGTACACGACCTCTAAATTTCGAAAAAATAGGCTTGACAAAAATTCCCTTTTCTCGTATTGTATTTGTCTCTTTAAACTCTGCAACTTTACGTATTTATTAGCAATGGAGATACTTTCCATTCAATCGCCACGCTGACGTACCTGATTAGAGATAAGCGCTTGTAATTGGGGAAAAGAGAATATAATGAAGACAAACGCATTATTTCATTAAAATATTATCAGTTACAATTTGTAAAATTAGTTGTTTCTCATTCCCATTTCGCAATAGAACATTATTCTATTCTTTTATCAGCTTGTGGTGTTATTTCCCATGCTCGCCACCAGAGGGGTCGCATTCTCACAAGCGCTCGACCACCTCTCAGTTGCTATATACAGGGTGCTCGGCCACCCCTGGGAAAAATTCTATTGTGGGATTCTAGAAGTCAAAATAAGACGAAAATCAAAAATAACAATTTGTTGATGGAGGCTTCGTTAAAAAGTTATTAACATTTAAAGTTCCCCCCGTACTGAATTTTTTTCTCGAAAATGCGCAAGATTTCGGGGGTATGTCTATTCACCAAAAGTAATTGTAATTCACTCCCGCAAACGAAAATAATTTTTCCAGAACGATTTGAAATTTTTTTTTTCCGTCGAAAAATTTCACACCTTTTCGAATTTTTTTCTAGAAAGTGGGTAGGATTTCGAGGGTATATCTATTCACCAAAAATAATTGTAATTGACCCCCGCAATTGAAAATAATTTTTCCATGTAATTTTACACGATCAGCAGCCAACTAACATTATTTTACAAAATTCTAATTTCTATCGTTACGTTGCAGATTGTATGGAGAACATGAGGTGGTGTTTCACGCTTCGTCGAAGCAACCGGTATGGAGTATTATTTTTTAAGGATCGAGAACTGCGTGTATGTTCACAGCAACGTCAGAAACGATCGTTGACATTAATAAAATAATGCAGTCACGGATTTCGGGACACTTCACTGCACGAGGGGCGAGAGAAACGAGGGTGAAACAGAGATACGACCTTATGTTCGTACATCGTCACTCTGGGTCTCTTTGTCAAATTTCCTGGCTGCGAAGCGGAGAATGATAGGTGAAAGAGAGAGATATTGTCAGTATAATTGGCGAGGGTCCGCAACAATATTTATTACATGCAGGGGCGTCAAAAATCATAATGACCAACTGGGGTATAAACTGCACCAGCCTCTTTGCGGTTCGTTAAACGATGTTTCGTTAGGGGGATCGTTTCTGCTACTGAAAAAGATGCACGTTATCCTAACCTTCTTCGTGTCCCTTACGTTTCTTCCTCTTTTATCTCACGAATGTGCAACGCATCTGTTTGCTTAGCGGTGTCGCTTCAAAGAGTAACTTGATCACTTATTTATCGTCGTGTCGCTTTCTTATTATTAAAGATAAAACTAATCTTTCAGCATCAAAATGTCCTTTCGTTGGTTCACTGACAATTAGCTTCGTCAGAATCCATGTAAAGAAATTCTCGAATTTTTCGAAAAAGTTCAAATTAATTGTTTCGATAATAAATTTTTACCCTCCCTTTCTTGGAAATTCAAAATTGCGCTACATAGATGATTATTTCGTCGTATATAATTTCGTAATAAAAATAATTAAGATCCGTGATAAAAGAATAAATTTAAACGACATTAACTCGATGATGTTCTTACGAAGATCAGAGTGCTTCGAAGAACGAGTAAACTTTTTAAAAACTCTCCGTCTAATAATAGAGATAAATCGTAGCCGCCTGTGAGCCGAAACATTCTGCACGGTTGCTTTCAAAAATTAATCTTACAATTAGAGATCGTTTCGGTCGAATGACAGCGACGAGCATTTCCTCGCGTGCATGTTTAGCACGGCTCACGAACGAGCCTCTGCTGGGAGTGTGCGCGCGCATAGTGTGTGTGTGCGCGCGCGTGGGTTGAGTACGAGTAGGATCGTAATGTTCGGTAAGTACGTGTTTGTAGTTACCCCTGAGGCGAACCACCCCCCAAGAGCCAAGACCGGTGACTCCGCCTTCATCCCCGTTATCGTCACCATGGGGTTGGTTGTTACGCAGGTGGCACACTCGGGGGCGGTTCTTCGCTACCCTATCCGCTATCTCCCTTTCGCTACCGCCATTTCTCTCCCTCCGTCTCCTTTTCCTATGCCCGTATTATCGCGTTACTTTTGGAGGGAGCGAGAGGGACACAGAGTGTCGCACAAAGTGTACCGAAACGTTGCCCGAATACGGACAGTCGCTCGTAGTCATCCCTAACGTGCTCCTTGATCTTCCGCGTTCGATTTTTTCCGGCGACGAAAAAAAATTCCATTTCCGTCCGCGGTCGTCCGGTATAGGTTAGCTTTCTCGGCCGGGAGAACGGAAAGTGTCACCTCGCGAGGACCGGGGCTCTCTGTTCGCGCGACGAATCTTAACGTGCTTGGGATCTGTGACTGATCGGTGATCGACGGAGGGAGCCTCCAGCCTCTCGGAGACTTGGTCACCCAGGTATTTCTACCCGATTCGTTCGTTCGTGTCGCTACTTTTCCCTGATAATCGGAGGAAACGTCAGTGGAACGTGCACGTGACCTTCCAACTGTACAGTTTACGAACATTCTGCCGATGGTATCTTCCTTTCTCGACGACAAATCTACCGACATTTCCTCTTAATAATTTTATAGCAAACAAAAGTATAATTTCCTTTACTTAAAAACAAATAACATTATCGTCGTATTTGTTACAAATTGCAGGTTTCTCGACTCTTTCGTGGTCTCACTAGCTTCAAAGCAACAAACTTTCTTTTCGTCTTTGTTACACATTCGATATTCTATTTGTCCAGTTTTTTTTTTTTACAAAAGAATATAAATTGTTTTCTACAATTTAAATAGACATTTAGGAATCCACAAGACAAACTAAATATTTTCTCGGGAAACAAACAATTAATTAAGTGAATATCGAAAAATGTATAGTACGTATATTGAAAGAAAAATCGTGAAGTTAAATAGCGTTGTAAATAATGTTTCATGTAAAAAATTCTAAACAAAATTTAAGAAATGGTACATACATGCTATTTACGTCCGGGAACCAGAATTTTATTTGATACCAAAACGTTGTCCAGTTTTTGTATAACAAAATGTTTTTTCTTAAAAATCAAACAATACAAAAATAAATGAATATTGAAAAATACGTACGAAAAAAGTACGTGCCCTATAAAAAGAGTCGTGAAGTTGAACGGCGCTGAAATAATGTTTTACGTAAAAAATTCTAAACAAATTTTTAGGTTAAGTGTTAGAAGTTGACAACGTGATTACATTTCTTTTTGCAAGCCATTGATAACGTTGTCGTTAATGTTTAATTAAATCTATAAATTAACATTCCCCTCTTCCTTAATCTTTACCAGGTTATTGCTTTAAACAGAAGCTATTTATATCACACTATGATAGTATACTTTATATAATACTTTCATAACGTCTGTCTGTCATACTGTTTAAGAACGTTTCAAACATCAACGAAGTGATACCTCTTGATAACTGGATTTATTTTTTATTACATTCGCTGTGGATGTTAACCAAAGATTGTTATTATTATTATAGGTTAGAAACGTTCAAATTTTCCGTGGTCCGAACGATGGAACGAGAAAATAATCGGATCGGTGTCCGAGATATCGTCATCGAGATTATTGCTATTCGAGAATAAAATGGGACGTGTTTGCACGTTGCTGACTTTTGCGGTGGGGTTTATATTTAAATGGCGGAGATTAAAAAGCGCGTAAATACATTCTTCTTCGTTCACCTGCGACCACGTTAACATTATAAGCTCGAGCTTTGCTATATTCTAAAACTGCACTTTTATTTGTAAATTATTCGAAAGCTATCAAATAAATTTCTATTTGCAAATTACAACACTTTTATTTGTAAATTATTTGAAAGCTGTCAAATAAATTTTTACTGATATCGAACACTAGGTAAATATTTTAACATTTTTAAAAATTGTTTAAAACGTTTTTTTTTCGTGTTATTTTTGTTACAAGTATAAAATTTGAATTTGAAAATTTTTTCACTTTTTTAAATATTTCAGAAATGTTATAATTCTTTTTATCTTATTTTTAAATATATTATTGCAGCATTATTTTTTTTTTTTTTTAATCTACTGCAGTTAATGCACATACATAGAAAACGTAAATGAGGAAAGTAATTTCTTTGAGCTTGAGTTAATAAATGTGAAGAGGTGAAATGAAATAAAAAAATTCTTCATAGACACGAAGTTTTACCTAATAGTGATATTCTTAAACCATGGAATGCAAAAGATAATCTTTATGTAAGAATTTTTAACATTGCGTAATATGGACAGTTATAAAAAAATATTATATAACATTTAAGAATAGATTTCCACTATCTTCTTCATTCCGTATTATCAGAATATTTATGATACTTAAGCAGGAAACTATCTTCTTTATTTTATCAATATACACACGAATAATTCATCGTCAATTAACACGATAACACGACTTTTTAATGCCAAACACAGATCGTATTTGACGCAGCGATGGATTAAAAATTATATTCGATGAAAATGTTATTCTTATTACGAAAATACGGTATAAAGTGTAAGTGGCCTACAGTTAATCGTCGTTAATTAATTAATAATGAAATGCATGATTTATTGCGCGGGAATGATCTCAAGTACAAATGTGTAAATTAGATAACACGTACGCGTTTAATGTGCAAGTAAACAGAAGTACATGCATATTAGCTTTTATCGTTATCTGCGTTTTTGTTTATCAGCTCTCGAGGATAAACAACGTTTTGGTGATCTGTTGATAGAAATGTAACTGAAATTAACATCACCAATGGTATTAATATTGCTAATAGTATTAACTGTATTTAATATCGACGATTTGAAAATTCAGAAAATTTTGGTACATTCTATGCAATTGTAATAATTCATATCTAATAAAAAATAATTTTTAATTAAAGGCATCTACTATGGTGAAATCGACCATTGTAAAAAGTACAGATTTTTCGTTTTAAATTAAACGAAAACTTCATTTTTTTTATATCCATAAAACAGTTGAATTTTTGTACATAGTAAATATATTAAAAAACATGTATATTTCTTTTTTTTTATGTAATGGATTTAGAGTCCGTTGTAGTAGTAGTAAAACGATATTTAAATTGTTATATAAATCTCGTACAACAGTTGATTATTTAAGCGTGGTAGTATTAACGATTACATCGAAAATAAAATTCGTTGAGAGTAATCGACGACATGTATTAATGATAACAACAGTAACATGCATTACTCGAAGTGTTATCTTATTACACTATTTTTCAAGCCATTCCATAAATAAGATTTTATGAAGCACTATCTTAACATTAATTGACACAGAGTCACATTGATGTCGATAACCTCGTTGAACTTTCTGATTTACATAATACAAACATATTTAACTATCGATCATTAAGATTATATATTGTCGAGTAAAATTCATTTACACTAATTAAATTTTACTTACAACACATTCGTATAACGGTTTAATAATTTCATTTATAAATTCAATTCAAAAGAATGCAATTGATAAGCCTCTTGTTAGTTATAGTTAATCGATAAATCAGTTTATACAGTCGCGTTTTTAACGTCTAGCAGTCGTTTCGAAATAATTTGATGCACACGAAGAGATTAAAATTTTGCAGTACTTAATTAGAAAAATAAAGAACGAAGTCAATATCTTTATTAGATTCCAAGAAAATAGCTTGTAACACTTTATTTAAACTACATGGTACGTTATTAGCAACATTACTGCTTTAAAAGAAGCAAAAATCGGTTTTGTACCTACAAAATGATTAACGATAAAGGTGGAAAAATTTACTGATGTTTTAAGAGACAACTTGTAGGTTAAGAAAAGCAGAAATGGGAATATCAATCGCTTATTAGTGTACAGAGATATTTGTGTAATGTTAAATTTGTTACAACGATACAGACAGGAATCAGAATGTTAAAAACTATAAAAGAAATTGTGGTAATTGAACATTTATTACGGAATATATACTATAAAAGTTTGAAGAGGGTTATTATAGAAGATCTGTTGGTAATTAGCAGTAATACACAGTATTTAACTTTAGAATATTAGTTTATTGAACATATAAAGGTTTACAAATGAAATGCGTGAACAATAGGTGGAAAAATAATCGTATATTATTAACAACGCGGCGCTCGTACTTTACAATATCGTCGTTCAGAACCAACTAACCTATAATTTAACTAAACTCTAGGCATCGAATCATAGAGTGCGCTTGTGTCGTTAATGATATGAATATTTGACTGGATAGATCTACCAGAATTCAAGCAGATATTGGTAATCTGAAAAATATTGCAGAATAGTTTGTTTCATATTTGTCCATAACTGACAGGACACGTAATAAGTCTAGAAATAAGAACCAATTATTATAAAATGATAATTGTGAAACGAAACTAGGGACTTTTTGATAGCTTGAAATAATCATAGTATACTGTCGAATCATCTTTTTAATATTTTTTAACTAATTTCATCTCAACCTTTCTGTAATATTCTCCACAAATTCTACTTTCAGATGAAACACGTTTATCTTAGAAATTTTTTTTCGTCATTCTAAAAACAGAACATTTTTTGATAACATAAATCCAGGAATTGCTAGTTTTGCAGAAGTTTGTATATTTTAATGTATTGACTCAACATTAAAATTCTTTTTATAATTGTTCATAGTCCATTAATTTCTGTCGACTAAACACAGTGCTTGTATTATTAATTTCTTCTTTAAAATAGAACTAACATCATTCATCTTTGTAATTTGTAATTTTGTTTATTCACTCTTTTTTAAAAATGAAGACGTGTCTCTTAAGAGAGAAATAATTCCTTCAAAGAACTCTTCAGTTTTCGTTGATTATTCTGTTTCATTTTTAAATAAAATTTACGTGAGTTAATAGTCACATTGTTACTTAGTTAAAAATTGTTAGCAGATGATCGATGTGAGCGCACTCTATGAATCGGTGCCTACAGTTTAGTTCAATTATAGGTTAGTTGGCTCTGAACAACGTTACTGTAAAGTACAAGCGTCGTGTTGTTAATAATTTACGATTACTTCTCCACCTATTGTACACGCATTTCATTTTTTTACCTTTATATGTTCAATAGACTAATATTCTAAAGTTAAATACTGCGTATTGCTGTCAAAGATATTAAATATTACGAAATGTGTTACAACACAACGAACTAGTCAAGAGGACACGACAGGAATGTTATTCTTAATCGTTCGCGAATTTCTTGTGAAAATGTTCCTGCGACATGTATGTATATTTCTTAAAATAAATTGTATAGACAGATGGAAGGGGAGTACTTATAGTGAACTATAGGAACATTACACACATGATTCAATTGACATTAAATTTCATGAACAGTGGTTATGTCAAAACCAAAGAAAGTAGTCAAACTTAAATTAGAATTTGGAGAATGTAAAGACAGAGCCGAGGTA